GTTGGGGTCCAGAGGCACCAGACCCCACCACCAGGCAGGTAGTGTGGAGGCGTTGGTGTTTGCCTATCTCACCGAGGATGTGGAGCTGCTGCTCTGTGACCCCTTGGTCTATTGGGCAACCCACAGCCAGGTGTGGCAGGATCTGGCCACGGGGCCTGGGAACACCTGTCCTGTCCACTGACCAGTGTTCCAAGTGAGAGGGTGTGTTGCACTTAAAAATTGGATTTCTAACCTAGTGCTTTATGAATTGACAGAACATTCAGTTGATGAATAGCAGAAAGGCTTGCTTTAATACCTACCAACAAGTTACAAAACTAAATGACAGAAAAGACTCATTTCCAATATAAAATAAGCTATTAGTCCTCAGTATTATCTTAGCTGCACCAAGATCTTTACCCAATGCAGGCAGGAAGCAATTCTTGTACAGCCTCAAAGCGTGGGTCCTTCACTTGTTGGCTGGGTGGCAGGATGGTTTCTTGATCTTCCTTGGAATGTACAGACACCTTGCTGGCAGTTCTGTCTTGCTTTTTCATACTATTTTAATTGTATAGCTTCAAAGCATTGCTTCTTGATAGTTACTTAAGTCCCAAAAAAGCAGGCAAGGACAGAATTAATATATTACAATTGTATCTTGTTTGTGCATTTGTGAAGTTCGCAAGCTTTTGATCAGTTCAGAATCAAACAGGATGGGTATTGATTGAATGAGATACCTTTAGGAAGTTGATCACAGAATACTATTTTTCAGTAGTTATTTTCACAGTGGAGCCTAATAAATAGCTGCATCAAATGGCTCATGGAGATAGTGAAGATCAGAAACCATTGGATAGAATAGGTATGAGTTTCAGAAGAAATGCAAAAATCTAGAACTCTTGGTTCCAAAATGATACCTTTTATTAGATGGACTGAGAAATTGCAAAAAAATAAATGGTTTAGCATAATAAACATTTAGAAATTGACTGCTTATTTTGAGAAATATGCCTTAATTAATGTATGCAAATGTGAGGCAGTGAGGATCAGACAGTAGGTATGAAGGAGGTTAGATGGCGTCACATAGATTGATTTAAGCATAAAACTTTAGACAGATATTGAATGTTTGCTTTGGGAAATAGGTCTTAATCAAAGGGGGAATGTATTAACCAGTATATAGTTACAGTCGTATTTTCAATGGACCTTAGCTTTTCTTGTCTCTTATAGGCTTTGCTTTGAAATGGATATTTTAGATCTTTTGTTTTCTTTAGTGACACTTAGCTCAATTGAGATGTAGATGCAGTTTGTAGGTTTCTCCACAGGCTCTTTGGCTTTCTGGCTTGCTCTCTGAGTCTTGTTACATTTATGCAATGAGTGTGTTAAGTCTCTGCCAATACTTTTAACCATCATTTATTTTTTTAGGCTCAGGCATGGTAGAAGGTTGAGGGCTGTTATTACAACTGTTACTATCTTATGGCATGGCTCTGGTATTGGGTACCACAAGCACTCCAGTCTCTCTTATGCCTAATGGGTTGCAAGCCATTAGCAGAGTTTGCTTTTCTTATGGCAGGCTTGTTACCTCAACCCAGTGTTGCCCCAGCCACTGTCTTACATTTGTGTGCATGAGACACTGTCCAAGCTTTCACAGTTTTCATATGCAGCAGTCCCCAGTAGTGTAACTGGAGAGAGGGGTAATAGGGACAATTGTCCAGGGTGTTGACTTGCTGGGGGGTGGGGCTTGTGCAAAAAAAGCATCTGCTAGCAAGTGTGTGTTCCTGTTTATGATTGTTGTGGCAAACAGAAGTCACCACTTCCACTTTTCTTTGGGCACCCAGCTGTGTCCCTACACTGCTACTCAACCCAGTCCACCCACACAGCATTAATATCGTGACTGTCTCTGTCTGTTCTCTGCTTAAACCAGGGGCGGGCAATTATTTCAGGCACATGGCCTCTTACTTTTGGCAAGCCATCGAGGGCCACATGACAGGAAGCCAGGGGCAGATAAATATTTGTTTTCTAAATTTTTTAGGGGCCCTGCAGGCCCAATAGAATGGCCTGATGGGCCGCATCTGGCCCACGGGCCGCATTTTGCCCGCCCCGGCTTAAACCATGAAGTCTGAAAAGACTGTCATCTTTGTACCCGATACCATAAAACTCACCATTACCTACTGCATAATTATAGTAGGTCCTCACTTCTGCATACTGGGAGAGTGCATATTGTTACTCCTTTACCAACTGGTAGTTGAATCAAGGGTGTTGAAGAACAGTGTCATGCACAGAAGCAGACACAAAGCAAAGTATTCTCTTAGTGCAATGAGTTTGTTTGTGAAATACACACAAGTCCTCTTTCCTCATACTGAGATGGTAACAAATGACATACAGACCACCTTCTCCTAGCAGAAATCTTGGGTCAGGTACTCCTGCTCTGTCTCAGAAGCTGCTACTTTGATCCTAATTTTCTTGTCAGAACCTCATTATGTCTCCCAATCCAAAACCTCCTGCTTATTCAACTATTCTGTTGAGCACCTGTCAGCAGCAACAAGGGCCAGGTTCAATTTTGGGGATACTAAATATATTTTACCATGGCTCAATCCCCAACCCAGTCTACCTAGAAAACACTAAATGGATTACTAGGGTGTCCAGTAAAACCAACAACCCTTTTCTTGCAAGCAGTGTAGACACAAAAAACAGATTTATTACAAAGCATAAAGAAAAGCAAAAGTAATCACTAATTTAAATTTTTAAACACTACAAACTACAAAACAAAGTCTATAGGTGGCACCCTCTTGGGGGGTTCTTTACCTGTGCCCAGGCAGTCTGGGACTTGGGGCTCCCCAGTGGGTAGTTCCAGGCCCCTGCACCCCTACACCTGCCCTTCAGCAATGGGCTGGAAAGGTGGGGGGGTCCAGACCAGAAAGTCCAATGAGCTGCTCCATGGGTACACTACACCGCAGGTAGCTGCTAGAGAATATAGTCCTTCTGCATTGCAAAGGACCCCTTGTTGCTCCCTGTGAAGCTGTAGCACTGATCCTCACTTCCGCATAGTGGATTTGAGGGGTGAACTGCAGTTTTCACTAGCATATCACACCCCAAAGTTTTTAGACCTAATCCCAGCTCTGCTGGGGCAGGAAACTGCAAGAGAAGTCAGAGAAAAGCCAGCCAAACAGCAAAAGAGCCTGACCAGCAACCATCGCCAACCGCACCGCTTTGGTCAGGACACAGAACTACAAAAGCAATGTCCCAAAACATGCCAGGGCCAGACATACAGCAAACAAATGTATAGTGGGGCTCAGCAATACCGTTATGCTAAGACACAGCCACTGTGAAACAATTAAAGGGGGCTCAGGCCTGTCCTGCACCCAGGCCTGAATATACAACAACAGAGAGCCAAGCCTACTTGGCTGTGGCCTGGATGTATAATCTCAGCCACACTGTTATGCTGAGACTCAACAGCTATGCAACAACATAAGGGGGCCAGGCTTGGGCCTGAACCAAAACTATCGCCCAACCACAGTGCTTGGTTGGGGCATAAACTGCAAAAGGAGCCAGGCTTAGACACCACTGAGGCCTGAATAAGCAACATGAAATGCCAGGGCTTCACCCTGGCCCAAATCTGCCAGCCAACATGTGGCTGGGGTTCAGCCCCACAACAGCAGGCTGAAATGCAGCAGCTGTAAAACAGCAGAAAGGGCCCAGGCTTATGCCTGTAGCCTGGACATGTAGTCTCAGCTGTACCACCATGCTGAGACACTACAGTCCCCAAAACAATGACTGCCAGGACCCTGTTTCCTGGTCAGTCTCCATTAGGGAAGGATACACTCATGGCATTGTCCCACTCGAGGCCTGCATGCCCAGTAGATGCCAGGACCCCATTACTGGGCAGCCTGCACTAGGGGAGGATACACTCATGGCATCATCCCACTCAAGGCCTACATGGCCAAAATAGCTAGCAAGACACGTAGCTGGGGTTCAGCAACACAGATATGCTGAACCCAAAAGAAGGTGCAACAGCAACTAAAACATGCCAGGCTCTTAGCCCTGACCCAGAGCACACCAGCAAAAACTGCCAGGCTCCAACCTGGGCCAGTTTGCTACAGGGATTGATGCCCACCCCCTGCAACAGCATCCCACTCAAAATCCAGAAAACAAAAGGGGAAAGGAGAGGGAGAGAACAGAGGTCTCAAGCCCTGAGACAGACTTTCTCTCCCTGTACCTGAGGCTTTCCCTTCACATAGCTTCAGCTTCCTTCTCCAGTGAAGGGTGGGGGGTGTTTGTGGTGCAATATGTTTGTTTGCAAAATACACATAAGTCCTCTTTCCTCATACTGAGATGGTAACAAATGACATACAGACCACCTTCTCCTAGCAGAAATCTTGGGTCAGGTACTCCTGCTCTGTCTCAGAAGCTGCTGCCTTGATCCTAATTCTCTTATCAGGACCTCCTTATGTCTCCCAGTCCAAAACCTCCTGCTTAATACAGAACACCTTGTTCTAGCCCTCAGCTCTGAATTTGACCCCTGCAAAACCACTGATTAACCTTGAGTTTATGCAGCTGCTTTGCAACAGAAAGGGACACCAGCAGAGCTTCAACTGGCAGACAAAGAACAGTGCTTTCACTACACAATACCCTTCCCGACTGGGCGTGGTAACTGCATGGCATCTTTAACTCTTCTATGGGGAGTTCTGGTTATACGGTGGTGATCCCTCTTCGACAATCAATTAACATCAGTATCCTCTGATGGGCCAGCTGTAATAGTTTTTTTTATGAAAAACAAATCACATTATTAGATATCAACAGCCGTGCCTAGTAATTATATAATAATCAATACATATGGACTGTGTAGTATTTTATTTTAACATATATTTGTGATGTGATGAATAGTGTATGCAGAAATGGGCAGACAAAGAATAAAGGCACAGTGGTGTTATACTTACTGCAATGTACCAGCTGATCTGGTTAGACATCAAATGCAGACAGAAAATTGCCTCACCTCTCAAGCTAATTTTAGAATCTCCCTGTCTTCTGTACGGCTCTGTGGATGTGAAATCACTCGCAGTCTGACAGTGTTCTGGTAACCTGTGCCATGCACAGAGCAGGGTGCACTCACAAGCCAAGCCATCTGCTTGCATGGCATGGGTTAACCGAGCCTGTGGGATTGTGCTTACCTAAACAAAACCACTGCAGTGAAGGGAAAAAACAATGAATGGGTGGAGATGAGCAGCCCAAGCGTTCCAGCGAGTGCAGTCCAGGCTGCAATGACAATCTGAAGGTTGCAGCAGCATCAAGATCTGCATTCAAAGTGAGCAAATCTTCCAGTGTGGAGGACTTGTTCATTTTCTAAGACATGGCCAGTAACCAGGCCAGCCTTCAAGATGACCAGAGCCGGCACTGTAAGTTCTTGTCTTATATGTTCTACCAGGCGGTGCGAGACCACAAACCTGTGTGGATGCTGGAAGACATGAGAACTATGGAATATTTTTACTGGGAGGAAAATGCCAGCTTGAGAACATATTCACCTTCAGAAGCCCTTCTCTATGCAGTGGTGCATAATCACCTGCCTTACGCTCAGTATCTGCTGTCTCATTTTCCAGAGGAGGCTCTCAAGGTACCTGGGGAACATTTCTGCTATTGTCCATCCTCTGCTCCTCACTTGGCCATGGCGGTCACCTATGACAGGAGAGATATTTTGGGGCTGATCATCAAAATTGCGCACAAGCTACCCAGCTTGAACTCCTACATCAACCGGACTGGCTGCTTTCATCTGGAAGATGGCAAAACCCCTCTGCATCTTGCCTGTGAATTGCTGAGGTCAGAAACCGTCCTCAGTCTCCTAGGCAATGGGGCTTCTCCCAGGATCATGGACAGCAAAGGGCTTACCCCTCTGGATGTCATCCTGGAGCAAATGTGGGACTCCAAAGTCAATGTGGCATCAAAAAAGCTTTGCCTCGATTACCTCTTGCTCTTCATGCCTAATCCACAGTTTAAGATGCGGAAAGTCCTGCAGGACCATCCTGAGCACTGGACAGCTTTGCTAGGGGAAGACAAATTCAACAGCCTGGTGGGGAACACACCTGCTTCTTTATACCTGCAAGCTATGCAAACTATTCTCCAGTCTCTCCCACCCTCCCACTTCCCTAAAAGCATCCAGGAACTGCCTATACCTCAGGCACTAAAGCCCCTACCATCCTATGGCAAAAAGCTACAGACAAAAAATGTGGTAAATGCTTTTCCTTGACTTTATTATTTGGGACTTGGATTTTCAAAGGCACCTTAAGGGAGTTAGGTGCCCACTTCCCTTTGAATTGCAATGCAGTTTTGGTACCTAGCTCCCTGCGGTCTCATCTGAAAATTCAAATATTTCATGACAAGATTTTAAAAGGTTTTCTAACTGATTGCAGGCACGACACTTTTAAAAGCAAAAACCTTCCTTTTTATGTTGTGCATGCAAAGGGTTAAATAGATTTGAAGGTATTTTTTTTTAAACCGTGGACCAGAATCAATGTGTCTGAATTTCCAATATGCTAACTGTGTCCTGTGTAAATTGTCCAGATAGAAGGAAATTACCTATCCCCTGGGATTGTTCAAACACTGTCAAGTAGGGACTGTGTTCTTCCAGACCTAGGGAAAACACTGTACTGTCTCTGACAGGGTTCACATACCAGGTTTCCTTTCTGAGAAACTGCTACAGCATGATCTGGTAACAATAAACAATCCAGGGGCTCACCATACTAATGGAAATGTTTTATAAGGGGGCAGTGGGTCTGTGTCCTTGTGGAGGGAGCAAAAGCGGATAAAAGAATCATGAGGAACCCTCCTTTTTCATTGGGGATTAAGGGGTTAAAAGGCAATCCCATCCCTGCTGCTTCTGTAGAATTGTGCAAAGGGGAGGGAACCATTTTCCTTGCTGTCCAGTGAAAAAATGCAAATCATGGTAATGCCAATAGAAGTTACATCTTTAATGAGTGACATTAATTTGGCTTGACTTTGGTTTGTGGGGTGGGGGCGGGTATCCCCAAGAGAGGGCAGCTCTGCCTTACTGCCTTGATTTAGACATTTAGATCAAAACCACCCACATCTTGCCAGTGTGATGTTTTGCTTGGTATGTTGTTGTGGTTGCTTACGGCATTCAGGGTCCAGTTTGCAGCTGCAGGGCCTAATCCTGAAAAGTGAGGGGCATCTTGAGCTCCCATTGACTTCTTTGGGAACCAAGGGTTGGATGGAGGCTTTTACAGTCTGACAGGACTGGGCCCTTACAGCCAATTCAGGTTTCCTTGTGTTACCAGGAGCACCATGCTTTATTCTGAGTCAGTATTATTAATTAGGAAGTTACTTGTTAATCAGTCAGTACCTTGCTCTCTGTGGAGAACCCAGCAGTGGAGACTAGCTACATAATGACACACCAGTGGCAGTAGGACCTGCTCTTTATTTACCTGTAAATCACAGTCATTCTAGCCTGTGTTTGCATTTTTAAATCTAACTCTCATATCCAAAAAAATCCCAACAAACCCAACTCCAAAAATTTCCCATACTTATAGCATGCAGCACATAGTGTGTGCTTGTCTCCTTACAACAGAGAGAGTGCTAGGCAGTGTGTGACTCCTCTGGCCAGTTTTCTTGAGATCACGAACAAGACATGGCACATAGAGTCTGTGCTACATCTCTTGTCAGATAGGATGGCTACTGTATGGATCGATTTGTTTCTCCTACAGTAAAGTAACAAGCCAAATTCTCAGCTGGTGTGAATGGGTGCACTTCCCCTGGAGTCATTAGGATTGCATCCACTTATGCCAATATGAAATCATGGGGAGTACCCCTGTGATACTGGTCAGGGTGCCAGGCACAACTGGATGACAGGCTGCTGAATATATTGGGGAGTGCCCCTGCTGTATGTATCAGATATATCCCTGTGAAACATGCCTGTTGTGCTACCAAATGTTCTGGGGACTGAATGTTCTGGGTGCCTCCTGCTGCTGAATGCACTGTTTGCTTGTCATTACTGGTATATTGAAAAAAATGCCAGCACGGCTTTTACAATAAGGGATCAGCACTGAATGGGTTAATCTCTTCCCTGCATCATGCCTTGCCAGAGTATTTTACTCCAATGACATCTCCAGGATTGTATGATTCCTTTATGATTTACTCCCTTTTGGGGGTGGGGGGGCAGGGAAGAGGGGGGAAGAGGGAGGGGTTGAAACATGGTGTGCACATGAAACCGGATTTTTGCAAGGACACTATTAGCATGACAGCCTCTGCAGCACGCAGGCCAACCTAGCAGAGATCTGGCAGAGATGGAGGTTATCGCAGCTAAGAGGTATCTCACCCCCGCTCCCCCCCCCCAAGCAGGGTTGAGCTGAGGGTAGATTAGCATAAAAAACACTGGCTGGGCCCACCCTGCCTGCCTGCAGAGTGTGTGCAAGCTCCTCCAGCTGTAGCAGCTCATCAGCCCCACAAGGGACAGGGGAGACGGGGGCCAACAGAGCATCCATTTCATCCCCAAGGCTGACAAACTGACAGAACAATAGCACGGCTCTTCAGAGTGAGCCCTGTTCTGCTTTCAGGGAAGTCAGTGGGAGCAGGCTGGCGCTCAGCATTGGCTCTGTCTGCAACGAAGCCGCAGTATCTAATTTGGATGTCAGCAGGGAAGAGGCGGAGGAGGAGGGGGATGATATTATTAGAATGCTAATTAGGCTCCAGTAACAGGAATTCAGTTTTAAAAAACACGGAAGGGAATTCATTAGATATTTTTATACTGTCTTGGGTTCCACTAGACCTTCAGCTCTGATCAGAGCTTCAGCAGGAACACCCAAGCTAGGGAGGTAGGGAGGGGAAGGAACTTTGTTCATGTATATACATATATATAAAGGTTGTAGGGATTGGTCATGTGAGCGACATGGTGCTTCCAGGCACGCAGGGGTGAAATTCTCAGGTGCAGAGAGAACCAGGGCAGCACTTGAGACACTTCTGGCCTTAACCAGTGCAGAGGCATTTTGTCGACTCCCTGCTCACAGGCAAAGTTCACCTTTTGCTAGGTCTAAGCTTGCAATGCAGTACTGCTCTGGCCTATCCAGATCTTTTCTGTTTTGCAAAGTTAAGTTAGTTCAACTGCAGTGTGGAACTTCCTGTGTTTCTGGGTGTTTGAATGTGGTCACCTTCAGCTGGGTGCACCCTGGATTATGGTGTAGTGAGGTGCCTGATGCATCTTCTTGTATGTAGGAGTCCTGTGACCATCACACCCAGACCTTCAACACGTATGCCTAGGCAAGAGTATGGAGAAGTGGACACTGCCTAAGGCCTACCATCCCCCCTTTAGACCATTGAGACAGAATCTAAAGGCCAGACCAAGTCCAGATGTTCAGGTCCTTGACAGTTGTAGTTTCTGCCACAGAGCAGCAGGTGAGAACTGCTGCTGACTCAGCGAGGGTGTGTTTCTGTCAGGGTGATGTATGTCCCATAGCCTTTCTCCAACAAAGGAGTACCCACAAGGCAGTGAGGGCTAGGGTTTTGAGGCACCCTATACTCCATGTTGCCACCAAGCCCTCCAGTTGGATGCAGTTAACAGTCATACCCAGGACCATAATAGGATACGAGTCAGCAATAACTACTATTGCAGGCAAAAGCAACTTTTCTGTAGTTCAAGCTGTAAGGGAAGGTCTGTGCATTTTCACAGCAACCAAGGGCTTGTTAAAAGTTGCTACTATCTAATGGCTGTTCAGTGGCCTGTGCGCAACCAATCTGTCAAGCCTTAAGGCACAGATGAAGCTGGAGGACAGAAGTCTATACTTATGCTGACTATGCAGGCCATATTGTGAGACTGCTTTTGGGGTGGGATTTTTTTTTTCTGTTAGAAATAAACAGTTTTCTATCCTGGTTCATCTGTCCTTAGCATTGATCTGCCTGTTTATTTTTGTTATTTTGTTTGTCTTCCTTCTCAGTAAGACGCATTACACCTTACACAGCCAAATCTACCTCAGCATCATCACACTTGATTCTTTTTATTCATTCTCTTAGTTCCTCATCCTTTGTAAACCTGCTTACAAACAAAACTAAAAGTCTAGATCTTTTGTACAGTCCTTCCCTCCAACCTGCCAGTCTGTAGCCTTGAATCTTTCTAGAGGAAAAATGCCTGCACTTGCATGACAAATACATACATTTCCTTTTAGTTTTTACTTTTTAATCAAAAAGGGTGCTAGGTGCCGTGTAGCAATGTTTACATTTGGCATAAAAATACACTGAATGAGTGTAATTTGAGATTTTTATTTTTAAACTGGGGGTGGGGGGAGACACAAAAGAAAATAAAGGAGGTAGTGAAAGAGAGACAGAGAGAAAAGGAAAATAAATTGATACCAGCCTCCGGATTATCAATGGCTTAGCAGGATATGACATTCTTTTTTATTTTTGTCTTTGTGACTCGTGTTATAATGAGTGTATGTATGTGTGTGTGTGTTCATTTGTGTGTGTGTGTGTGTGTGTGTGTGTGTGTGTGTGTGTGTGCATACGCACATGCATGTGTGTGTATCTGCCCTCTCCAGGACAGACTCAGAACTGCTCCTTTTGGGGAAGTTTCTGAGATAATGAAAAAACATGAGATACTCAGATACTATAGTAATAAATGCCTTAAGAAAAGAGCCTCTCCATATGTCAAATTAAGCAGGCTTTGCACCACAAGCATTATACTGACAACAGCGAAGAAAGCTTCTTCACATAAAGTGCCAGTAGCCTGTGCTCTTGAAGCAAGAGATCTGTCCCTGACTGGCAAGTAGCAGTGGTCCACAGCCTCCTGACAGCCATGATCAGGCAGCCGCGGCTTTGCTACTGTGTCACCATTTATTTCTATATCTTTTTTTTAGTCAAATAAAATCTTTTACACATAGCCCCTAGACTTTCCTCTATTGTCATTTGGTTGGAAGCATACCACCTCGGTACAGCACTAGGCAGCAGCGTGATGATGTGCCCTACCTGCTCTGTGCTGGTTATTTGCTGAGCTGAGGGGAGAGTAGCCCTGCTGAGAAGAAGAACCTACTGGGGAGTGTGCAGCATCAGCACAATAAGATGACTACCCAGTTTCTGGTTCACAAGGTAGCACAGATGGAGCTATACTGGAGCACCGTAGATGCCCCTGCTGAGTCTCCAAAGCCTGTGGGAATTTTGATAGATTTAATGGAGTACTGCATCACTGCTAATACCAAAGGGCCAGATTCTGAAATCTGTGGCACCTTTTTACTTCTGGAGTGACTCTTCTGAAATCGATAGAGTTCTCCCAAGGTTATGCAGGAGTAAATAGGAACAGAATCTGGCCCCCTGGGTACCTCTGTGTACTTCCAGACACTGCACTTTTGAACTCAGCTTTTGACCTCAGCAGATAAACAAATGGTACAGCTAATCCATGGAGACTTTTTACATCATTAGCTTTTTTTTAGTATATTTTCCTGCTCTCTGAATGGGAGCTACCTTTGATGGGCATTCCCCGACCTTGTTTTTTTGGGTCTAGTGTGAAGCTGACAACCGCTAATGTTTACTGATTGAAATTGAATCCTGCCAAGCCTAAGGTACAAATGAATGTTCATTGTATGTTATGGCTTTCTTATCAATTAAAGCCATACTTTGTAATTTAGGTTTCTCTCTCTCTCTCCTTTTTTTTTTTTTAAGAAAAGTTAATTCGATATGATTGTGTTTGTATATTATTCTCTGCATGGTAAAGATGACATGATTGCAATGTGTACTGAAAATAAAACAAATATATAGATACATATAAAGAGACACAGTCTCTGATATAAATATATCAGCTATGAAGATTATTTAATCTGACTGTATTACTGTAATAAACTTGCAGTATAAACTGTATGTGTCCCTTCTTTCCTCCTGGATCAAAAACATCCAACATGAGCTGTTCCTATTATTTTGGCTACTCTTTGTCTTTGATTACTTCAGCCTGAATGTCACATCATTGCCTCCTTGAATGTGAAAGAAGGACCAAAGTCTTCTCCTCATGACCTTGTGACATCTGGATGTGTCATAGAATCATAGAGAAGCAGGGCTGGACAGGAGTTCCAGAGGTCATCTAGTCCAACCCTGTGCCTGAGGCAGGATCATCTCTATCCGATCACTCTATACAATCCATGATCTAAACTCTTCATAAAACTACCGTCAACTCTGACAAAACACAGGACACAAGACAGAACACCCTAACCTGCCACAGGTAAAACAAGGAAACCATGGTAGCCAGTGTCCTGCTTCTGTAAAAGATTGTTAATATATGGTCATAAGATCCCAGGTAGAGGGCTATGTCCACTGCTGCTGAGGAATGCAAAACCCCACAGTCTGTACCTGACCCCAAATATGGCGATCAATCTGATCCTAAGTGGAGAGGCAAGACCTTTTAGCCAGGAATCTCCAGTTTTAAATTC